CGATGTTGACTTTGACTATTACGATACAAAGGTGTATTTAGTGATCGTGGCTCCATATTGGGAGATAATCTTCGAGCCTACTGAAGTGAAAAATCCGAAAGGTCGATTTATTTTTCTGAACAGCCGTCATAATGTAGTCCCATGTGAAGCTATCGGAGATTTGTGGGGTATTGTCAGATTCGTTAAAAAAGTTAAAGATAAAAAGCTCACCATAGCAGTCCTTTCACCGGGTATAGTGAATATCATTGGAATACCGTACTTGAAATACCATTCTGGACTACGTATTTCGCATGTAATAACAAACAATATTCAATTGTGTAATTTTTCCAATTTGAGCAACGGATCATTCTATCAATCCATTAATAGCTACCAATGCTTTCTCAGAGAAAATCTGGTAGACAACGCTCGAGGTTTACTTTTGGAAAAATTCTCTGAGTTCTTAACTAATAGCGAAGCCGTTAACAATTTGACGGACGCCAGAGGATTAATAGATGAATTCCAAGGACTCGAAGATCAATTCTGGAAGCTGAACTCCAAAATGTCTCTATTACCAAATTATCGTTCCGTTCTAAATCATATCAAAAATTATGCAAAAAAACTCAAGGATAACCAGAAAGATGAAAAATTTGTCCTTGCATATCTGTATACTGCTGTTGTGAGTAAAATCGTCAATTTAGAAAACAATGTTGAGGCTTATTTGGTGGTCGACTTGGAAGGATTTTGGAAAACAATCACGTCTGAAGCTGCCGCCTTAAAAGAGTTGACAGATATGAAAAGTATCAAAGGGTACAGAAACAATTATCTTCAAGAATGGAATGGAAAAATTGAAAAAGCTCAGAGTTACGTGAAAGACTACGTTGCCCCGAAAATAGACAATATTATGAGAGAATTTGACAAAACAGTGGAGCTATTGATTGATGAAACTGTTTGGCTTCAGGAAGCTGCTCAAATAGAAAAAAGGGAATTGATCAAAAAACAAGAAATCTTGAAGGCATCATTGATTGTTAGCGGGATATTCAACGGGATAAAATTGGCAAGTATGTTTTTAAACTTCCTGGGTCCAATCGGATCGGCAATGAGTGCTGTCATAGGCGGAGTTGCTTCTGTATCCGAGGCTTTGATTGTCGATACTTCCAGCGTCAATGAAGATAATTTACTCAAGTTGCCCAGCGCGCTCTCAGAATCTCTTGATCATGTGTCAGGATATATGGAAAAAAAGAAAGATCTATTTCAACTCCAAATGAATAGTGCCCAAAAACTGATCCAAGACTTACCGAATCAGGATGATCACCATATCCAAAGCCTTAAAAATGAAGCCGAAGAGGTGCAGAAGAAGTTAAAGCTTGAAATGGACAAAGGCAAAACATTTGATCCAGATGCCATCAATAACTTGCAAACGCAAATTAAAACTTTCTCGGGAAATGTAGAAAAAGCCGGAAAAGATCTCAAAAAGACTCAGCCGAAAATATCAAAAGTTATCGGCCACGTTGCGACTGCATTGAGCATTGCTGAAACGTCAGTAGAGGTTTACGGCAAAATCAGCTCTCAAGTTAAGAATATCAACGCGGTCGGCGATCTTATAAAAAGCGCCGAGGACAAATTCAATAAGCTGAAGAAATACGAGAGCAATATTTACAAAACCATAATTCCCGTTTGCAAAAACATCGAAGACAATGTCAATCAACTGCAGAAACAGCTGAAGGGCCAATCCGAGGCAGCTCTCATCGTCAGCAAGTGGCAGATCCAGAACGTCTTGAGAGACGTTTCGAAAGAAATCAAAGCAATGACTAAAGGTTTCGAAGCGCATGAAAAGTTCGCGAAGATTTTCGATTTGGTTGAAGATGGTATAAACGTCATGATCAAATTATATGATACCATAGAAGAGTATCATTACAGAGCCGAGCTCGGCGCGTACATCGCCAACATCAACATGCACACTACTGAAAGTAGAGATTCGGAGCTTGCCATTTTCAACGAACCGATCAGTGAATTGATGCTAGCGATCCAGAACAATGTTGTTCTGCATAATTACAAAATAGCCACCAACGTCATTAAGCAGCGCGTCTTTCCGTTTGCTCATGCTTTTTTCGCTTACTACAAATTACCAGAGATTCTGAGGCCAAACAGCACCAGTGAGATAGGAATCGAAGTTGCGAAAGAACTGGAAAAATTGCAGAATCATCTGACGCTGACTAATTCAACGACCAACGACTGGGATAAATACGTAAAAAGTAACATTTTCGGTGGTAGAAAAAGTTCGTTGAAGCCATTCTACGTATGGAAGTACAGCGAGCACAAAGATGATATAGCGAAGCTATTGAACGGGGAGAAAGTCTTGCTGAGAGCTGATATAGAGCGCGGATTCAAGGAAAACGCGGTGAAATTCAATAGAATCGGTATCAACTTCGCATCGCCAAATAAGACAATCGAACGAAAATTAGACGAATCCTTGCGAGCCTTCAGAGTTACTCTGATCCATTTGGGCTACTCATATTACAAATGTGACGATAGAATATACAGGATCGATAGTGTCAATCAGACCATCGAATACTCGATCGATCGAAGTGGGGGGTGTAACAACCCAGCTACCTTCAACGATATTTACCGTAAAATTGCCGACAACGAGCCGGTTCTCAGTCCTTATACCACGTGGCAGATACAACTGAATCACGAGGAGAATGATTTTCATGAAGTATCAAAATACGCGAGCGAAATGATCGATTTAGAGCTCGTGGGTACGGGAAAGTATGTCGACCTGAACCTTCCACAATATTGCAACGATCAGCTCGATGAATATTACGCAAGGTACGACTATCAAAACGAGAATCAAGTCCACGAAAAAACTCCAGAGCTAAAGTTAAAAAGTGTGATTGATGATCTGTGGAACGGGACCATCTTAGACGATATATATCAAAAGGATTGGTATTTTGACGGAAAGGACCTTTAGGAAAGTGATAAAAACTATAACTAAAAAATTTATGGAACTTTCTATGTTACAGAACATTTTACTGTGGTTCATTATAATGAAAATTACATTTTTACTTAGTGAACTCAGAATATTTATTTTGAAATATTTCTCAGTGTGCGAATTGACTTATGTAATAAAAATGCTATTATGTTGAATAAATTGAAGAATCAAATTTAAAAACATATTCTCTTGTTTTTTATCAAATAGTATTTAAACATCATTTCATTCCTTTTATTGCATAAGAAACATGAAAATATTGAATTTTTATAATTTTTCCAACAATTTTTGCCATTTCAACACATAATTCAATAAGATGTTTCGGAATAGTAGCGATCATTCTTGGCTTGTGTCTAAGTGCAAACTATTTAGCCAGTTTTCATCGTCTGCAAAATAAAAATGAGTAGTAAAAAAATTTCCCTTTCGAACATCGAATTTATCGAGATAGTTTACCGATTTTTAAAAAATTGTATGAAAGATGAATAAATCCAGCCTCATATTGGTTTCTCAGTTCTAAATATGTATAGCATACCTTATAGTAGATTTTCTTACAAGGGGGAGAAATGAAACTTCCGCATGCACGTGATAATGGCGCCGAGGCGAAGCCGAGGCGTCATATCACGTGTATGAGGGTGTTTCATTTTTCACCCGTGTAAGAAATAGTATTTTTTTCCATCCCCGCGCAAAAGTTTTCATAAAATTATCCAAATAAATTCAAAATGAAAAAATAAATTCAAGATCTCAATGCACAGAAGGACTTGCATTTGTTTTTTCTTTCGCATCGAGGTCTTGATTTGCCGTCTGATTGTGCAAAAAACAAAGCGGTTATGGTTATTATTGACTTTTACATGAAATCAGTTACATGTGCTGCGAATCATTTTCCTTTACTTTTAGCATTGTGAGCGAAGCGAGTCATACTAAAATTTAAAATACGACTCTGTAATTAAGCTTCGAATTTTGATGCTCGCCCCGACATTAGCATCACGAGCGAAGCGAGTGATGCTGGTCGGGGGGGCGAGCATCAATAACATTAATATAAAAAACATTATTTTTATTTTGATTTGTGTGTAACAAGTTACACACAACATTCTTTTTCGTCCGTAGACATACCATCATGCGCGAATGATTTTTCAGAACTCTGCATAATTTTTACCACGTAATTAGTATAACGCCTCTACGTATTGATGTGTCTTCGAAAAGTTGTAGGCTAAGTAATGCGGGCGAAAAAATTATAAATATTACGTTGCTAGGCTGAGCTGGCCACAGCAACCACTGCATCTGTTGGACGCGCAGAAGTGGGCAAAAGTTCTTCTTTTTCTATGCCACGCGTACGGCGAAAGTAAATACTTTTGCCGGAAGGATGGAAAAAAAATCTTATTCACACTGTAATATTTCACAACTCACGTTAAAAGGTTTAGATATTTATATGCAAAAAAAACATATGACTATTAATATTCATTCGTTGTGGAACTTAATACAAAAAGTCTCGAAATTCGGCCAGTTGCGGGTATAGTCTTGTTTTTCATTTGAAAACCTGAATGGCATTCTGAAAAATTACGTTCATAGCTCAAAAAATCCTGAATTGCAATTCTATGAATCCGATCAAACTTATCTAAATCTATCAAATTTGAAAGATAAAAAACTTGAATGATAATAAAAGTTTTCAAACAATAAAAAATATTTTATTCACATTTTTGGTTAAAAATTCTTTTTTTTTTCATACCAATCGGAAGGCTCGAAAGAAGAAAAAATAAAATGGTCTCATTTTTCAGGTTAACGAGCAAGAAAAAGAAGCGAACGCAAGAAAGCACATCTTCATGAGGATTTTTAGTTTTTCGCTCCCTAGGCACGTAATCAGCCATTGCATATACTCAAAGCGGCTATAGCTTTTAAAAATGATATTTTGATTCGATACATGCACACGTGTGTGTGTCGACGAATATATATTATATAATAATGCATATAAAGATTCATCTCCCAGCTGGGGGTCAATCGCCTCGTCGATCGCATATATTCAACGTATATATTTACTAACCTTCTCGTTCCAGCGACCTCGACCACTTTGCACCGGCTGCGGCTCCACCAGAACGGCGTCAGAGTCCAATAGGAGCTGCTCGCGCTTCTCGCCCAGCCTTCCTCGGGAAATAACAGCACCTGCAGGAGGAGGCAGAGAGAAAAAAAACATTGAAAATGAAGTATGCGTATCGAGAGGAATATATATCGATGCATTATACGAAAAGTAACAGCCCTGCGGGCGTCGCGATCTTCGCAAATAAGCCGATCGTATAAATATTACGTAACGGGCGCGTGAAAATAAACGCCGCATACGATTCGCGCAGCTCGCAGCGGTACGCGTACATATATTTAGGGTACCGAATGCGGCTGGATTTATTTACAAGAGTCGCGAGGGATGTCGAATGTCGCGCCCCATTATTATTTGTTGCGGCTCAATGTTAAATAATTCATATATTATAAACGCGTGAAATTCGAAACAATGAGCATCGCACCGTCCCGTTTATCTAGGCCATGTAACTAATAGTACGAGGATGTTTTAATCGCATAATTATAGTTGCTACATTACGTTCATAATATAAATCCAAACGTTTGAACAAACATGAATCATTAAACTTACTTTTTCATTCTTTTTTTATTAAATTTTAAAAAATAATTTATTGAATTTTTCATAAATACTTCTGGGTTCATTCACAGCTTCGGTAGTGAGTCATGAGTGTCGTAAGTAAGTACGAGTGTGAGTACGATTTTTACGAAATCACTCTCTATACATCTCAGCAGGTTTAAAGAATTATCACTTTTAATGTACGATTATCGCACTATGCAGTAGCTTTCAAAGAGGTGGAGAAGCGTTGAGTTTACTTTTGTTGTTAATTTTAAACAAAAAAATATCTATAGTTGCGCTATAAAATATCGTATTAAATTTGTAAAAGTAAGATTTCACTAGGAAACTCGTTGCGGCAAATCATCGCGCTGATCATTTGCAGCGCACGAAGCAATAATAGACGCTACTCTCGTTTTTCACGGATTCGTATACCCAACGAGACGGCAAAAATTTTCAAATTTAAAAAAACCTGGATATCGATACGTTCGAAAAGTCAATAGCACATAGTGTATTTTTTTAATATTCTTTTGGTAAACCGAATAAATATAAATACTCGTATCATAACGTCGAGGTAATGTGTACATTATAATAAACGCGTATAATCTCGCAGTAGGGGCTGGGCTACGTGTACTCTATAATATAACTTATCGATCGACGATATGATATATAATATTACGTTACACAGACGAGCCGCGCACACACACACACACACACACACACACACACACACACACACACACGCGCGTATACGCGCGCAAGCTCGCAGACTTTTGTATTTGCTCGATAAACGCGAAAGAGAGAGAGAGAGAGAGAGAGAGAGAGAATGGGTGAACTCAGTCAGCTGGAGATATTCAATAAAGCGAATATTTTAATATGAAAGAGTAAAGGAGCTCTTTTGTGTGTGCGTTATTTCTGTGCGTCCGTGTGTTCTCTGCGCAACGCGACCGATCCCGGCCGTGCGCACATACGCGCCGCATATCTCTGATCATCTCTCTCTCCTATGTTACGTATATGAAAGAAAAATATTTCACGCATATCAAACGAATGGAAAATGCGTCTACATATAATATAGATCAAATGCGTACGATATACGTATATCATTATTTCATATTATAATATTCAATGAAACGTTTTAATCCACGGCGCGAGTACCCGCACGCCCGGTATGTAACGAGCTCGCGCGTATACCTGCATATTATTTATTTTACAAGAGCATGTGTACGCGCTTGTGCGGCACACTGCAATTATAATAACGCGCGGCTCGTGAAAATTAACACCGCGCTCGTGATTAGGAGGATTACGCGCGTTTAAGCGCGCTCTCCGTGCGTATATATACCTACGATCGTGATTAAATTTTGTAAAAACTATCATCGCTGCGTTAATAAGCGACGGCGGTGGTGCGCTTTTATTTCATTTTCTTTCGTCGGTTCCTTTCCCGGTCCCGTTGTACGCGCGGCGAGCAAAGTCGGTCACGAGGCTTTGTTTATTTTTTTTTTTTTTTTTTTTTTTTTTTTTTTTTTTTTTTTTTTTTTTTTTTTTTTTTTTTTTTTTTTTTTTTTTTTTTTTTTTTTTTTTTTTTTTTTTTTTTTTTTTTTTTTTTTTTTTTTTTTTTTTTTTTTTTTTTTTTTTTTTTTTTTTTTTTTTTTTTTTTTTTTTTTTTTTTTTTTTTTTTTTTTTTTTTTTTTTTTTTTTTTTTTTTTTTTTTTTTTTTTTTTTTTTTTTTTTTTTTTTTTTTTTTTTTTTTTTTTTTTTTTTTTTTTTTTTTTTTTTTTTTTTTTTTTTTTTTTACTTTCAAGATCGCGCGCGGTTAATTTTCTCCGCTCGCGCGCATAGAACGGTGCGGAAAAGCGCGCGAAAATATAAAGAACGAGAGACAATGGGGCGTGGGGGATGGTGGGGTGGAAAACGGAAACTCTCGGCACACAGGTGAATTCAATGCGCGACGACGACAACTAATACTACTACTACTGCGTCGAGTGCGTGGCTGGCAGAACGATATAACAGAGAGCGAGCGACGACAACGAGTGAAAAAGGAAATAAGCCGAATGGCGCGCAGCTAGCTCGACTGTATAGCCGCGTGTATATATGCCCTTGTGTCATTGGCTCGGTCTCTCCGATGTTTGTTCCGCCGGTTAACTATGGCGTATAAGTGTGTGTATGTGTGTGAATGTATACGATATGTATAGCCAGCGTTCCGTGCGGCAATAACGACTGCCAAACGAGAGACACGAGCCAGTGAGTGACTGAGAGCTATATATAGTCAATCGATTTCGAGCTCGTTATACACACGCACACTCTCGCTCGTGGTTTCGAGAGAGTAACGCAGGCTTTATCCTGGTACGCGTGCGTGTGGATTGTGCGCATACAATTTTTATGCCGATCGAATCGGTTCTTGAAATTCGCGCGGAATCAAACTGGCTATACTTGTTTGCTGCCGCTGCCTTTAATTCTTCGTCGATGCCGTAGAGCTCCCCGGAGCTTTTTTTTCTTTTCGAAAGCTCGCTCGCGTTTATGAAAATTCCAGAAAAGGAGACGCGCGCGCGCGACGAAAATGAAAACAATCGGTCGGAGCTGAAATTACGTCGCAGCTCAGCCCGACGAAATAATACGTATTATCCGACTACGTCATATTCGTTTGGGAATAACTCGGGTCGCGTTCTGTTCGGCCGGCACAAAAGGAAAAAAGAGACAAAACGATGACGCGCGTTTCAACGCTACACCGAAATGTATACGAGAAGCTGTATAGGAAAATCCGCGTGCACCGCAGAGACCCCACGCGTGCGTGTTTGTGTGTGTGTGCAAGTACAATATGTGCTGGCGTATCGCGCGCGACTTTGTACGTACAAATTGTATAAAATAACCAATTATAAAAATGAAAGCCGCTGCCGTAGCGGGATGGCACATACACGTTTTGCATATATTTGAGCGCGCGTCACTCCGCGCTCTGCACATACTCTTCTCTCTTTCTCTTATTTAATATTCCAGCTCGCGCGCGCAGGGGCGAACGCGATCTAGTGTGTAATATTACAAAAGAATAAAGAGTAAATTAAATCCGTCTCTCGCTCGTGCACGCGTATGCGCGTGGATCATATATATCGTGACGTCAAACGGAAAAAGAGATATGAAAATAAATTTTCATTTCCCATCTCTACGCCGGTATAATGATATTTTATTCCGACGGTTGAAATTTTGTAATATAAAACATTTGTTTAGCCGCGCGGTAGTGGTGCGCGACAACACGATCAGGCACGACAAAAATTAAAATATCTCGTGTCTTGGCTATCGTCGCGGAAAGATTGCATTTTATTTTTCGCCGCGTTAACTACGCAACTCGATCGAAACAGCAATGAAAGATACGAAAGCCGCCGAGTCTTCCCGAATATTTTTTTTTTTTTTAAATTTTTTTTCTTCGGGTTCACAGTAGTTCATGAGTTACCGCTAGGTGGCGGATAGCCAAACTGTTGGAAATCAAAAGAGAAAAAGCAAAGTTTAAGTATAAAAAACGATTTTCAAGAGCACCGCAATAACAAGGATACGTTGTTATTTATTTTGCACAAGCGGTGAATCATAAAATAAATTTTTGACACTTATTCAGACGCGTACTTCACGAAAGATAAAAACCATCTATGGTACATTAATTTAGTATAGCTAATTTTTATTATACGCTACGACTTCTGCAGTGTCACGCTTGTGTCATGTATTACATTATATATAAGCATCGAATTCGTCGTTTGCTACAGCATTGGATAAATTGCCAGTCGAGCTTCAGTCGTTCAATCGCTGCAGCTTTTTTTTCTCTCGTCTCGCAAGCACACGTCTGTCTAACCTTTATCACCGTTATTATCATTATTATTATTATTATTATTATTATTATTATTATTATTATTACTATCGCATACACGCGGAATAATGCGCGAACGTAAAATTACAATTTATATACACACGATTAAAGCCCATTTACGTAAGCGCGCTTGTATACGCGCGTGTTATACTCGAGCGAGGCGTCGAACATATATATATATATGCGTGCGCGGGTGTGTTTACGCGAGATCGTCAACCCGACGCTGTCGCTGCGTCGCTGCGTTGTTACACGTATATACATATATACGTAATACACTTCAGCGAGAACTTGACACGACGCCGGGACGCCATCGACGTACGCGTATAAGCGCGAAAATGACCTCTTCGCATGCAAATATATTATACGAGACGCGATTAAGCTTCAGCGGCGGTGGCTGCGAATTTCAACGTACGTAACGCGCGCATTACGGTACATGTATATTACGTTAAGTAATACGATCGTACGTACGAACGTATATGTACAGCTCTTTATACCTCTTACGCTGTTTTTTTCTCCCTTTTATATTTTTCGCATAGCAGTCATGTATATATACCGTTAAATAATCGCCGCCAACTTTTTCGTCTACGTGCGCGGATTTTTGTCTACGAATAACGCGCGACACGCGGGCGTCTACGCTACGCGTATCTACGTAGGAGGATCGGTTCGCGCACACAGCCACGGCAGCCGAGGAGATAA